ATGGATCACTTTGACTCAGTTGGCCAGATATGGATCACTTTGACTCAGTTGGCCAGAGATGGATCACTTTGACTCAGTTGGCCAGAGATGGATCACTTTGACTCAGTTGGCCAGATATGGATCACTTTGACTCAGTTGGCCAGAGATGGATCACTTTGACTCAGTTGGCCAGAGAGGGATCACTGACACCGTTGGCCAGAGAGGGATCACTTTGACTCAGTTGGCCAGAGATGGATCACTTTGACTCAGTTGGCCAGAGATGGATCACTTTGACTCAGTTGGCCAGAGATGGATCACTTTGACACAGTTGGCCAGCTTGAACATATATTACAAAATATGCAATCTAAGAATACCTGTTTTTATGCAAACGTTTGCTAGAAATGCCCCTGCATGCTGCTATTTGTCACATCTGCCCCTGCCTGCTGCTATTTGTCACATCTGCCCCTGCCTGCTGCGATCACCCGCATCTACCCTGCTGAGACCCTCCACATTAGCTCCTGGTGAGACCCTCAGCCAAGGCATCAGTTCGCCACCCTGGAGCAGAGCGGTACATAGTTACATAGTTACATAGTATTTGAGGTTGAATAAAGACATTAGTCCATCAAGTCCAACCTATTAGGATCTCATTCTAGGAGTACCCGTACCCCTGTATATTACGGTCCCTTAAGAAATCGTCCAAAAGTTTCTTGAACAATTCCACATTATTTGCTGAAATCACCGCCTGTGGCAGTGAGTTCCAGACCCTAACTGATCTTACTGTGAAGAACCCCCTTCGCCCCTTGTGCTGGAATTTTTTTTCCACCAATTTTAGGTGATGGCCTCTAGTTTTTGTAACGGAGTTAATTTTAAACAGTTTATCGCTAATGTTGCTGCCACCATTGAACATTTTGTACATGGAAATCATATCCCCCCTCAATCTCCTCACCTCCAATGTGAACATGTTTAAATTTAGTAGCCGCGTCTCGTAGCTCTGGTCCTCCATACACCTAATTAGTTTGGTTGCCCTCCGCTGGACTTTTTCCAACTCAAGGACATCTTTTCCAACTCAAGTATGTAGCACAGAGTATGTAGCAAATTCATATACCTTTCCGCTTCGCTGTATAATGCATTGCTGGGATTTGTAGTCCTCTATAGCTGGTGGTATTCCGCATTTCCATGTAATGTATTCCTGGGATTTGTAGTCCTCTCTAGCTGGTGATATTTTGCATTGTTGTGTAATTTATTGGTCCCTCTACAGCTTGTAGTCAGTGGCAAAACTATCAGGGTCGCAGCGTTTGCAGCTGTGACGGGGCCCCGGCTCTCCACCACTGTCCTAAAATCATTAGTCTGTATTGTTTTCGAAAAACTGTCACATGATACTTTAAAAAAAAGTATCTGTGAGTACTTGGACAAGTATTGTTACTAGACATGTGCACTGCCAAAAAATTTGTTTAGTTTAGTTTCGTTTTAAATTCGGATTTGTGTTATTTCGTTTTTCGGGATTCGGGTGTGAAAGTCAATTCGGATTCGGACGAAATTCGGTAGCGGTAGTTCGAACGTTCGCTTCGTTTTCGGTTCTTATTCGTTTCGTTCTTTCGTGACATTTGAGGGGAAATTTTTTTTTTCTCCTTCTCTAATGTCACTTTGCTCCATTGAACGAAACGAATAAGAACCGAAAACGAAGCGAACGTTCGAACTACCGCTACCGAATTTCGGAAATGGAAATTCGGATTCGTTTGCATTCGTTATGTCTGTAATTCGGAATTCGGATACATCCGAATGTCCGAATTTCCGAAAATTAGTCCGAATTTCGATTCGGAACATAACGAATCGCACATGTCTAATTGTTACTTGTACTCGGCCTAGAAAAAATGGTATTGGTGCACCCCTACTCCCGCCCATGCCCGTACCGAGGTACAAACATGTAGTAAAATGGATGGGAGGCAGAGTTAATGGATTGCAAGTGCGGTGCATAGGCAGCCATCTGAGGGCTCTGGGGAGAGGGGCGCAAAATTGCACCTTTGCCTGTGTAGAAAAAATTCCTTGCCCCGGCCCTGCATATAAAGCTGCCTTCAGACCTTTGTGGTCCATTG